CAAAGTGGGAAGGGAGCTGGGTGGCCTCGGTCTTGGGAGAGAAAATGAGCTGGGCGGATTCTGGGATGGGGATGGAGGAGGACTCGGCATTCTCCCCCTCCTCGGCCGCCTTGATCTCGGCATCCTCCTCGGCGTGGTCCCTCTTGAACTCGGGAACGCCGACTGCCTCGAGCTCAGCCTTGCCCTCGACACCCGACACCATCTTGGATTCGGCCATGATTGGAGAACCCTCGATTTCGGCGATCGAGGAGGAAGCGGGGCTGGGAGTAGCCTCCCAAAACCCGGAATCGGCCTGCCTGAGAACGGACCGCTTGATGGAGCTGAGCTCGAGAGCGGGCATGGAAGCCGGGATGGGGATGTGGACGGCGGGTGCCTCCTCGAGGATGGGGAGAGCCTTGAACTCGCCAGTCTCGGCGGGGCCGTCGAGCTCGAGCACCTTACCCGAGTCTGCGCGCAGACGCTGCTTCTGGGGCAGGGAAACGGACGAGGGAGCCTCCCTCTTCACCGTCTCGGAATCGGCCGTTGCCTCGGCCTCGGCCTCGGCCTTGGGGGCAGGCTTCGTCTCGGTCAGGCGCAAGGGCTCGAACTGCTTCTCGGTCTCCTTGACCTGCTCGGGCTCCTCATCGAGAAGCGCGTCGAGGTCGAAGACGGGCTTGGTCTGCGCCTCCTCCTCCTCCTCCTCCTCCTCCCCCTCCTCCTCGACGGGCAAAGATGCCGGCTCCTCGGTGGTGCCCTCGGCCGTCACGTTCTTGTCGAGGGGGGCCACGGTGCTCGACCTCTTTCTCGAAGGGGACGATTGCGAGTCATCTCGCACGATGCTCCTCGACCTCAAATCCAGCAGGTCGGCGGCGGCGCCGTTTGGTGGGGGAGGAGATCCGGCTCTCGACGTCTCGGGGCTGCTGCCGATGGAATGCTCGGCCTGAGGGGCCTGCCTGTGCTGCTGCTCACGCTGCTGATGATGATGGGGCGCGGGCGATGCGCGACCGATATTCTCGCAGAAGAGCTCGAGAACTGTTCTGAGAAGCACCCTGTTGGGGGCGAGGATGATGCTGAGCCGGTCGAAGAAGTCGGAATCGCGCATGGTCTTGGTGTCCCTGAGATGCGGACGGATCCGAGCCCTCAGAAAATCCATAAACCAATCGTCGCTGTCTGAAAGGGTGGGGTGGGCGTCTCTGACGACCTCGAGGAGGGTGGGGAGGGGGAGACCCTCGCCGAACCTCTCGATCTGGGCCTCTGCGAGCTTCATGAGCTCTGGGAGCTCGTAGGTACGAGCTGCAGCATATGCTTGAATGCTGGCGTGGAGCTCGACCGTCTGCGCGGGAGCGTCGTCGCTTGATCTCGGCTTGAGCGTCTCATACTTGCCGGTGTGAAGGTAGTGCACGAGGACGTGGCCGACATCCTCGGAAAGCTCAGAGAGTTCTGGGAGGTTGCCCTCATAGGCCGCGTGAAGTTTGGGGCTCCGCAAGAGCACCTCCTGGGGAATCAGGAGAGGGCTCGCAAACGGAAGCGTGCATGTTGGGCTCTTGTAAGGGCTAATGTGTCCAACCAGTCAGATATTGATCAAGATGATGATGATGATGATGATGATGATGATGATGATAGTGGTGGTGGTGATGGTTACACTTACGAGCTCTCGGGGCGCGAATCAATCTCGTCCTTTGGTGACATGGCGACAGTAACTCTGGATGCACCACTCTTTCTTTTCCTGGCCATTGCAACGAGTGAGTTGGCGATGGTCGAGGTCAAAAGGTAAAGGGCGGTGAGGACAAGGGCAAGGGCAACGAGGGTCCGGGGTCTGGCGGTGACCGGGATGTTCTGTACGGGGAGGTAGGTGCAGAGTCTGGCAAAGCCCATCGCCTCCAGGATCGGGGGGTCGATGAAGAACATTTATCGTCGTGATGATGGAGTCTCTGGGATCTAGGCGAGCCGAGCTAGCAGAGTGGGAACGGTGGAGACTGCCTAGGGATAGTCTTGTCTGGATAGCGCGCCCCCATTTGTCAAAGTTGGGCTTCAACGGGTCCCCTTAAGGGACGCTTTACCAGAGCCAGTAAGGCCCAGCTCCTCTCTGAATTCTTGATGAGGTGTCAAGGGGACTCGGCCAGCCAATGAGACGCGAGCCTCCATTCCCAATCGGAGTCGCCCCGCCACGAATCCGGATTCTTTGGCCTGGTCGAGCGACGGCCGACCGCCCTGGCAGGGCTTCCCCCCTCCCCCTTCCCATCGCCCTCGCCTGACACAATGCCCAATGTTTCGATTGCTGTGTCGCATTTTCCCCGGCGTCCGGCGCGTGGGAGTCTGGGTGGGACTGGATGGCGGGCGATTGCCGGGTGCGCGGCCACGTAGATGTGCGCTAGAGCGCGTTGAGCCATGGCGTAGAATGGCGGTGGAGAAGGATGCGTCGCATGCAGCCGGCCGTGCAATCTGGGCGAACGCCATTGACCTCTTGCGGTTGGCCGCTGGTTGCCGCGGCTGGTGGTTGGTGGTGGTTGGGCATTTGCAAAAAGTGCGAATCCGTCAGGGTGCGATTCGACCGGGCGCCAGGGGTGTATTGCACATCTGAGGCCAAAGCCTCGGTTCTCAAGGGTGCTTGGCTGCCTAGCAAAAATCTCACGAGACCTGCCTATCCCTCTCCCCCCCCCCCGGCGGGAGGCTGTTTACGTCGTTCCCAAGATAAACGGCCTTCGACAGTAAACGCGGGGTCGTCGTAAGACTCATGGGGTCTCTGTGGGAACCCGTGGAGAAACTCGCTGAGGCCAATGACATTTGCGGGCCCAGAACCTGGCGTGTTTACTGCTCGCTACTGCACGCCCTAGGAGATCCCCCAGTTGAACCCCAAACATCGAACGGTCATCTGCCACTCGGATCACCATGCCGAGTCAGTTGAAAAGGCGAAGCACACAGTCGTGACAGTCCACCGTCGCCGCCGATCTGTCCCATGTTTGCAGTGATTTTAAAGTGAGCGGGTGATGCCCAAAACTGCGCGATAAGCCATGATCATCTCCACGATAGGTACAATTCCCTATCCGATATCGTTGTCTGCTAGCATGTCAGCTAAACAGGCAAGGAAAAAAACACTTTTTTGAGACAAAATGAAAATATGCACTTCGGTGTGACACCATGCCATTGGGCATTGATTTTTTTTTCCGCCAATGTTCCGTACGTTCCGTGAGGTGTGTGTGTTTGTGTGTGTGTGTGTTTGTGTGTGTGCCATTCTGGTGGCGTGCATGCCGACCCAACCCTTGGATGCAACCATAACTGGTTCCTGGTCGTCCAACGTTTGGATGCCGATGAACAACACAGATGTGCACTATCTTGGATCAGCGTGTGCATTGATTATTTTTGGGGAGCCAAAACCTGAATAATTCACGTCAATCGAGTCAATTGCCTGTGTCTGTACGTGTGCGAAGTGCTGGCGACTGACAAAATTGGCAATTGACGATGATGGGACCTTCTGAAGCCAGGAGGGAGTCACACAGCAAGAAGCTTTCGGCCAAAAACGAGATGGCAGCTTGGCGGCTTGGCGGATTGAGGGACGAAGATAGTGGATCCGTTCTAACGCACGCTTGTTCGAGACGATGAAACCTGCTTGGCACTTGCCTTGTTGGAATTCGAGACTCACAAGCTTTCGGACGACCCCCACCGTCCCCTGGTGGGGCCTCAAACGTTCAGAAAACTTTCAAATTGGGGGTCGGGTTTTCAATGGCTTTCAATGCAATCCGTCACATGATGCTTGTTGCAATTTTTAGCTCGGTTTAAACTCAATTGGCTGTAATTGGCATCGTTATCATTTCACACCGCCGTCAATTACAACCAAGCATCGACAAACTCGACAAAACCCGACAAGATTCAGAGTAAAGAGAGGCGTGTAAGATGATGGAAACCCTAACCTCCCTGCATTCTCAGAGTGGGCTGCAGCATCTACGTAAACAATTACTAGCCACTGCTGTTCCCGTGAGCATCCATGATCAGACGCACGTCTAAAATCAACCCACAAAACCCACCTGCAAGCAGATCACTGACGCCGGAAAAAAAAAAAAAAAAGATCCACGATGAGGAGGCGAGGGCTCGTGAATGGCTGGCCAAGACGACCGAAAATGTCCAAAAAGGCGTCAAGGCCGATTACTGGACGCATCCCCCGCTTCATCCATATCTCCCACTGCTAGTTTCCACCGCAAAAAGTCCCTGATTCGTTGTTGGCGTCGCCAAGGGTCTTGACAATGTCCTCGTTGCTATCGTCCAAAAACAGCAAACAGCAGATGGGAGAGATCATCAACAAAAGCCCCAGCACGTCTATCATCCCCGCTCTTGCATGATTATGCAGATCCGCTTGAGACAGGACGTGGAGGCCCAGGGTGCGCTATCATAGAAGGTTGGTATCCGCATGAATTCAAGGGTTTCAACCCCCATCAAGCCCAAGAGCGGCGACATCTCTTGGGGAATGTGATCTCTGGATCGGCAAGTTCCACCGGCTTTGCTGACTCTGTCACCATCTGGTTGGCGGTTCTCGAGAATTAACAACAGGATGATTTACCAGCCAGGCGGCGCTCACTCCACCCAGGAGGAGGGACTCCCACTTTTACCAAGGCCAAGTGCGAACTGCCCTAGCAATACCATGGATCGTCAGCCCATCGTAGCGATCATGGATGGCCATGTCATAGGAGAAAGTTGACAGAATTTGGAATGTCGCTTTTAGTTTGATTTCTGAGAAGAGTCATGAACCAACCCTGCCTACCTATGGGCTTGGATTATGATACCCGACGCTCGCGATCTGCCTGCTGGACCGGCACCTCACACTCCCGGCTCAAGGGAAACTTTACTAACAAGATTCGTCTTTAGGGTTATCTAGTTTATCCTGCCGAGGCTAAGGCGCGCAATGCTAGCGCTCAACACAAGCAGCTTATTGAAATGTAAGCTTAAAGAGGAAAAAGAATGAAACAATGTACGTAATAGTCAAGGGTATTCAAGCGGCACCATTGAGGTGCAGAGCAAAAATGAAAAACCGTCACCTGCAGGATTCGAACCTACGCCTCCGAAGAGACGAGCTGCAGCGTATCACGTGAAGATGATAGCAGGCCCGCGCCTTAACCACTCGGCCAAAGTGACTTGGCAGTTTTTAATATAAATGCAAAGGTTGGATCGCCGTTCAAACCAGAACGGCAGACAGATGGCATGACAATGAATTCTAAGGCGGGGGGAACTAACTATGAAAAATCCACCACACCAAAAATTGTGTGTGTGAAAAAAAAAAAAAAAAAGAAATGGTTTCTCTCCCGCCGGGAATTGAACCCGGGTCCCGAGCGTTGTTGGAAATGACAAGCTCATATACTAACCACTATACTACGGAAGACTTTTCGAGTGTGGACACCCGACGTAGTTGCGAATTGCTGCAAGCCCGAAGCGTCAATCTCCTTTATATATGACGCGTACTGAGCACAACAACATCCGATGAACACATTGGTTTTGTTTACTCGAGAAACTTTGTACTCGACAAAAGACGGGAATGTCTGCAACTTTTACTCTTTGAAAATGCATAGCTCGTATTGTTATTGTAATCTTAAAAATTGAAAGCACCAACTTGAAAAGCATCATGTGCCCATGGCAAGCAGTGACTACCTAGTTTATCCAGCTATCAAAGAGTCAAAGTTCGGTACAAACGAAAAGATTTCAATATTGACTTGAAGTCTAAAAGCAAGACGCACAAGCAAAGGGAAGTTTAAAAATAAAATATTTCAAAGCTGAGGGGACATACACGTTGAAAAACGTCAGGCGATGACAGGCTGCTACTGAACCTGGAGCTCTTTTCCTTGAAACCAAAGTAAAAAGTAAAACTTGGTTGAAGTCTCTTCTAAAAAGAGGCAGGTTATCAGTTCCAGTATTTAAATTCTGTCCCGTCAGTATCAGACCCCATCATCCATTATACCCAGTTACATCCCCACAAGAAGGGGAAAAAAAAAAAAAAAAAAGAGGAAGAAAATATTTGAACAAACAGATATTTTTGGTGTCCAAAGCAAAGATCGAAACCTAGGACATGATATATACATATATGGTATATCCCAACTCGTCTAACTAAATGTAATTCAAGCAAAACATTATCAAGTATTATCTTAACCCCCCCCCCCTCCCCCCCTTTTCCCCAAGTGGATTCGTATAATTACCTACCTACACATTACTCCATCCTTCAACAATCTCCAACCCCCCCAACCTTTATCCATTTACTTTACACAGGTAGGTAGGCACGCTCTCACCTCCCCCCCGTAGCCTTGGCCACCACGCCCATCACGACCCCAAAAGCAACAGGCAGCAGAGTCCCCAGCAGCCACCCCGTCACCCTGCCCCCCGCCGCCTGGACTTTGCTCCTCCGGCACGCACCGAAACAGCACGCGTCGTCGGGCTCGTCCACATCCTCTTCAATGATTTTTTGTCTTTGTTTTTGTTTTTGACGCCGGGATGATGGCTCCGCCTGTTCCCCAGGTTCTTGAAGCTGCTGCTGCTGCTTTGGTGCTCGAGTCGGTGCCAATGATCCTTGTGGGGTTCGGTTGCCAACAGATGATGACGGAGGTAATGATGATGATGATGATGATAATAATAATGATGGGTAAAACTCATCATTGGGAGGCTGCGTGATTCTCAACGTAGGGATGCTCCCGCCGGGACTGAACGACATCGGCGTGCTTGGACTCGCCAGCGGGTTAGGATAACTGGACAGTAATTCGCTAGAAATCGAAAGCCGCTGGGCGCTCTGCCCCGGGTCGTAAGCGCTGAGGGGTCGACTCCGAGGGGGCGACAGTGAGCGGCCGGCGCGGCCGCGCGCGAGTCCTAAGACTTCTTGCACCTCTTCGGGCGTGACTGGTCGATGAGCGGCAGGTTGCCGTTGGGGGGATGACGCGGGCGGCGGTGTTTCAATGCCATCGGAATCAAAGCTGCCGGATGGGGACAGTCGGATGCGGTCGTAGCTCCATCTGTCCTGGTTGGCGGATAATTGCGAAAAGTTGCTAAACGACTTGGGCCGGGAGAGCTCACGGCCACGGTCACGGCCGCGGTCACGGTGTTGCTCGTAATGATCATGAACCGGCGGAGGTGGTGAAGTTGAAGGGCTCGGAGGCGAGGGGAACTGTCCGTCCCACGACAGACGCGAACTTGAGCGTAACGTCTTTGTGTAGTCCCATTGCGTCTGAAGAGATGATGGGAGGTGAGATGTTGGACCAGACATAGATATTGTATATGTATGATATTACCTATGGTAATGATGGTTTGTTGGGGAAACGGTTAGCTGAAATAATCTTTGATGACAAAGGGAAACTCGGGTCATATGTTTAAGCGAAGAAGAAGAAAAGGTTGGGTGATCCAAAGTCAAAATAAGGTTACATTTCTAACGGGGGCCCCCACAGAAGCCTCCAGCAATCCCTGTTCGAAGCTATTCGGGGAATATTGCCGAACTGGGCTTCGGACCCTGGCGAGTATCTTGAACTTGCATATTTCTCTTTTTTTTTTTTTTTTTTTTTTTTTTTTCGTGAATAAAAAGTTGGATTTTATTTTATTTTCGTGTTATTTTGTTCTGATTTATACAAAACTTGCTCGTTCTTCTTCAGCCACTGTGTGCGGCTTCACTCGTGCTTGTGGCGGCGGTACCATATTATAACCCGAGTATGCCAGCGTCTCCTCACTCGTGCTAACGGCAACCCCTATCCCATACACGTGGTGGCTTCCAGGACTTGGCTGCGGTGTTGATGTATATGATCCGCCTGTCCCACTCTCGACACTACTGCTTTCTGACATGGGCCTCGCCGCACTAGTTTTGCACAGTTTTGGCGTCGATGATGCCTCTCTAGACAACCCCTTGAGATGGCGGTAGAAGCGAGGAAAAGACGGCATGCAGCAGACAAGTATGGTTCCACCGTATTCAACCATGGTCCAGATGCCAACTTTGGTCAGAATCCACGTCAGATCTGGCTCGTGAAAGATGATGAAACGAAGGACGACACCGAGTGCCGCAATGGCGCACGTACTGGGGATGAAGTTGTTAATCAGAGTCTTGGCCAACGTAAGGTAGGTAGGTAGGTAAGGTAGGTACTCACAAGATTGCAACTCCAAAGATGGCCATTACTCCCAGCTTCTTTTTCAGAGGCAACGGCAAGCTCCACACCGCTGCGATGGGGACAATCAGAATTCCCAAATCGAGGAGAAGGCATGCGCTCCCCGACGTGACCGTGAGAGCAATCACGTCGATGCATTTGCCAGGCGTGAGAACGTTCCACGCCTTCTCCCTCGGCGTGCACTGAAACATGTATGCAATAAAAGCCGCCGCGTGGTAGGCTGTGTTCACGAAGAAGAGGGCCACGATGGTCCAAAAGCTCGAATTCCTCGAGTGGTCGGGGCAGAAGAGCCGCTCAAGCTGGAACAAGATGGAGCATTTTGCAGCCCAGTTTGTGATGGCGTGCGAGATTTCCGCTCCGTAACTAATCTGTCACGCGATCATGGTCAGTCCAAGTGTTGGATCTAGTTACCTACCTTACCTAGATGGGCCTATGTATTAGAGAAGAAAAAGGCGGCATACCAGCGAAAAGTAAGGTGCGTCGATGGCTCGGATGTCCCACATATGGCGGGAGAAGCCACGGAAAGAGGCGTGAATGAATGCCGAGTCCCACATGATGATGCCCATGGTCGCCAAAATGACGAAATCTGGTAGTACGAGGGACGCAAAATCAGCATCGTGGTAATAGTTGCCCTCCGGGGGAACTTGAAGCTGTACCGACAGTCTTCCAGCCTGATATCCTTCACGATGATTGCCTTGGTGTAGATGCGTATCCCAACGACGAGAATGACGAATGCCATGTTGGAGACGGCAACGCTGAATACCAGATTATGCATCGTCTCTGGATTGTCAAAGTTTGATATATGTCCCGGCGGCGGGGACATGGCCGGCATCGCCGATAAATCAGAGACCATTGTTAATCGAGATGGATCTCAACAAGGCGACAAGAGATAGAAAAAGGTGTTCTGTGTCCAAAGTCTAGATCTTTTCGCGAGGAGACGTCAGAGGAGACTGCTTCTCTATATGTTCGGTGACGCTCCCGTCGACCTTGCTGCCGGCCCGCGCTAGCCCGTCACTCCAGCCTCGGGCACAGCTCAAAGCCACAAAGTTAGAATGGGGTGGTTGCTTCGACGGCTATCGATCACTTGGCCATGTGGCAAAGCCGGTATTGGTTTGGGACTGTGGCATTGTGGCACTGTGGCACTGTTACTACCATGGCCATTTTCCGCGCGCATTGTTCAAGATAGATAAGGTAGGTAGACAGCCAAAAACGCTTGAAGGTTCGACGTCAGAATGAAAACGGAATGCAATGCAGCACATGGCAAGGGGTTAGGGCAGGGTGGTGACGCGGTGGTCTGATGGTCGACGACTTCAGTTGTTAATGCCACGCTGTCTGCACGGCGCAGCAAACCCCCTTAATAAATGACCAAACTCAGCTACACCGGAAATGCATCAAAATTCTAGCGATTTTGTAACAAAGGTGCAAACAAACGGGGGAGTTTTCCCATTGAGGCTCTCTTTTTTATGCTGGACAGACCAGATTCGGCAGCCCCGTGAACTTTTTGGTCGACAGGTCATCCATTTCAGGGGGGGCTGAGCTGAAGAATGGGAGAGATGCGGTCTCCCAGCTGGCCAAAGACGGGCACCCACCCAACTTAGGCCTCCCCGGAATTCTACAAAAGAAAGAAATGAACGAGTTCCTACCGATACCGAGGTAGTCGACAATTTCACTTTCATCGAGTCCATCATCGGGGGCTGAAACCTTCCACACCTTGAAACCGGCTTCAACAAACCAATTGAACTTGATGCATGTGCTCTGATTCAATGTGACAAGAGTTGGCCAATTACCAAGAAATGAGATCTGGGGAGTTGAAAAAGAAAGAAAAGAGCGAAATATTAAATGCTTTTTTTTTTTTTTTTTTGTGAAACTTTTTGGGGACCCCGGGATGCGCCAAAATGTCACGCAGGGAGTCGACGGGACCGATGTTTGAAAATGTTTGACCAAGGCAAGCTCTACGCGTCCTGATTGGCTGACGGCGGCAATCCAGCAAGATTCGACGCTTGGGTGTCA